TTTCCATGAACCATGTAAGAAATAACTTAAGTTCACAATTAAGAAGATGATTTTCCTACCTTAGGCCTTGAATCTCAAGTGTGCTAGCTCAATTTTGCAATCAACCTTCAAATCTTCTAAGTTCAAGCAAAACTTGTTGAATTCAACCTTGTTCTCCTACTCTCCCCCTCTCATACGGTTTGGTCTAAGAAAATGGCTAAATAATGGTGCATCAAATGTATAGATTAAGTCCTCAAACAATGACCCTAAGGTGGCCCACTCAATGGCATTAAGGTAAATAATTAGGTTCAATTAATTTAACATTAACAATGCTAATTTAACCATTCCAAATCAACTTTTAATTAAATCTACCATAAAATCACATAAATTCTAACTAGCATAAAACACTAACCAATTTCTGATTCGGCCGCCGATAAGGCCTTCAATTTGCAGTTCGAAATTAAAACGTGAACAGATCATTCAATGATAAACAGATAAAAATGCAACTAATGCAACACACTCATGCAATTAGTTCAAACTTTCAGCTTAATCAGTTACTTATCATGCTTAATCACATATTAGCACTAATCAGAGGTGAGGGTTGTCACACGCAGGTCGTTTGCAGCCACGGAACCTCCAAGTCCACCAGGCTAACGAATTGGAGAAAATCAATCTATATCCGTCAGCCAATTCGGCGGATGTGGATTGAGTGGATTGACGGATAGACGTGAATTGGTTTGGCAATTTAGAATTTTATAAATTTTCAACATAATTCAACTTGTGCACTTCCTCAAAAAAATAAATAAATAAAAAATATTACAATCGATGACTATAAAAAGTATTATAATCATAGCATGCCTCATCCAAAGAAAAAAAGTTTGAAACTTTAAAATATTACAATCACTGCATGCATCATACACATAAAGTATTACAATCGGTACTTCTTAAAATATAAAAACAATTCAAACCACTAAAACCATGAACAGAACAGTAGTAGAGATTGTATTCTTCTGTATTGTTACATCTATATCTGTTTTTAAAAACAAAAACCAACCAACATATATCATCTTTTTTATTTATTATTTTTAGAGTTAGATTTAAGGAGAATTGGCCTACAAATCCCATTTGGCTGTTTTATAATACTCTTAGAAGTCCCAATATGATGTGATTTACGTTTTTGCCCATAAGGTATAATTTTTTAAATTAACCTATGAGGATTACATATGTTGCAGACCTGTCATGTTTAGAAAATCGCACTATAATCCTTTATTGGTTGGTACATTAGTTTTGGCCTGCACACATCACCTTGCATCGTATGTTGGGCCAAAACATATCCAACTAGATCCACATCGATTTTGGGTGAAGCCCACATTGGTAATCAAACATACAAACTATCAAACCACACTAGAACAGGTCATGAGCGACGATGAAAGGTCTTCCCGTCATCAGATGGCCGGTGAACACATTCCACACCAAAGCCAAGCGACAGCCCCCCCCCCCCACACCCCCCATCGCGGGTCCGTTGTCAAACATTCAGTCTAGTTGTTGAAAACACAAAATTCAACAGTAAATTTCATTCCGAATCGCACTATGATAATTTTAGGGTTTTGCAGAAAATATATCGTTGTTGATTTGGTCTAAAATCCCACATGTGAGTATTGGTATGGCAACCACATAGTCGACCCACATTTGTAGATTTGTTCACAATTTGTTTCCGGATTTGCAGGGATTTAGTTGGCAATGAATGGTAATATGAGCGATTACGTAACCTACAGTAATTAGAAAGGAAACAGTTCTGCAAGTGTTGCTGTGTGAAGTTGTGAACACCCTTAATCCGATAACGATGTCAAGGAACGGTGGCTATATGTATCTACGTTTTTTTGTGTTTGGTGTCGTGTTTTTGAAATGTGGTTTGATAGGTTTGTTGTTACTGTATCCATGTTTTACATTTAGGTGGGATGTGCATGATGTTAGTCAAGGGTGAGAGGGGTTTGGTGTAGTTAATGTTGTTGTTGGTAGGGGTATTGCTATGCGGTTGGGGGTGGTGTAGGATTGAATGTGGTGGAGTAGAGAGTGATGTTGTTGAGTGTGGTATATAGAAGGGACGGTGCATGGTTGTATTGGTTGTAAGGGGTTAGGATAGTGGGTGAGTGATTTGTGGCATGTGTAGGGTGCTGTGATGGGGTAATAGGTGATAGTATGGGGTGTGGTGAATGAAGAGGGGGGATGTGTGATGTTGGGGATTGGGATAGGTTTGAAAGTGTTTTGTGATTGTGTTTGAACTTTTCTTTTTTGTATGGTGGGAACGGTGTAATGTGGTTGTGTTTGAACATTACAACACACACACATCCTTCAAATACACACAGAAATCTGTCCCCCACAAATCGTCTTTCCCAAAGTAGAACCGTAATCAATGGAATTGCCATACCAGACAAATAAGTTACCGCACAAAACCAAGGGCAAACCAGTCACAATCCACCCCAAATCAGCCAAATGGGATCGTCCAGGCAACATTACCAACAAAATGGAACTTCCGAGAGTATTAAAAATAAAGAAGGATCTCACAGTCTAAAACCCTCCCAAGTAAGATTTTCTAATAATTTTCCCTAGATTTAAAATATAAATAAATAATACATTTATTTTTTCAATTCAAAAAATATATTCAAATTAACAACTCTTTTTCAACCAAACATATTCACCAGAATATTTAAATTCTTTTTCAATTAAAAACACAAACAGAATATTGAAACAAATTTAAAAACACAAAATCTTATAAGGTACTAAAGATGCTTGCAATTTGCCAGATCGATTGCAGTCAAAGAAACCTCAAATCCGCCATCCATCCAAAACTAGATGGACTGAAAAAAATCAATCTGTAACCGTCCGCTCATCATCACGCATCCATTCAACATGCGGCAGATCCCGGCAGATCGGTTTAGTTCTATCGGTTTGAGCGAATTAATATATTCGTTGCTCCCCCTACCTAAAAGTATACATAAAAGACCCTTACAATGCACGAAATAAGCTATTAATTACTCATTCACCAAACAAGCATATCTAATAATTACATTTATCCGTAAAAATATACATAAATGACCCTTACAATGCATGAAAGAAACTATGACCCTTACAATGCATGAAAGAAACTATGGCACCTTACGAACACCATTGTACACACGTGCATTCTTAGACAAAGATTTTAGATGAATTGGAAAATTGACAAGCAACATGCTGTCAACTAGTTCCAAGCTTTTATACACAAAATATACGGGAAGCAGCCTTAAATTTCTATAGGTATCACATGCCCTAGGCCAAGTTTGGAAAGACTAAATAAGTGTACTTTTTGTCTTTTTAGACTAAAAAATTGAGGTTGAAAATATGAATGTTTGGGTTTACTTTTTGACTTTTTATGGAAAAATGTGTAATAAAAAATTGTAAAAATTGATTTATAGGAGAAAATTAGAATTGGGAGTTGTACAGCCGTAATTGTTGACTTTTGGTGAATAGTGATAACTTTTTAACTTTTTGAGTAACTTTTTGACTTTTTGACTTTTTGGGGTGTTCCCAAACTTGGCCATAGTATGGACCACTAGTCCATTATCGATAGAGCCAGTAATAGTTTGGGAATTGTGAAAACAGCATCAAACTTACAGTGGACTGAGAACAGTAACTAAATTGGACCCCGAAAATTCTAGTCCACTGTTGTTCCTCAGTAATCAAATGCCGAAGACAATGAATTAGAATAAAATGAAAACTTAAGAAGACAGTCCTTAAACTTGTGCTCCCAAACATAAGCACAAATCATGATAGACAGAAACTTTTGGTCTTTCTTTCAGTCTGGGAAATATCCATATTTGACTAGAACCTTACATTTATAACTTGACAGCTGTTTGAATACCTGCAGATCAATTTAATTCAGAAAGACATACCCAGATAGTTCTTGCAGTCATCTTTTAAATTATCTAAAAGCCTTCTCACTATATCTACTCACCAAAAAAACAAACTATGCTCCCAAACCTGAGCACAAATAATTTTAGTTTTTAATTCGCCCTGAGAAATAATCACCTTCCTTGTCAGACTGGAAAATAAATTTCCCATTACTTTCCATTTACCCCAGTAGCTGTTTGGCACCAAGATAGTTCTCTCTGTCATCTTTGAAATTATCCCAAAGTCATCACTATCTCTTCTCACCCAAAAAAAAAAAAAAAAAAAAAAGAGAAACTATGTCCCCAAACATGATCACAAATCTGGGAAGACAACTTACGATCTCACTTACTCCTGCGAAATAATTGCCCTTCCTTTCAGACTGGGGAATACCCATATTTGCCTAACTTTCCATTTACCTTGACAGCTTTTTCAATACTTGCATACCAATTTAATTCAGAAAGACACCAAGATAGTTCTCTCAATTATCTTAAAATTATGCCAGAGTCTTCTCACTATCTCTACTCACTGTTAACCTATGAAATTATCCCTCAATTCAAAAGAATTATGGATTGTTCTATACATGCATCCACTTTAAAGGCAGTAAAATTCATATTTTCCACCAACAGCTGCTTTATTCCCTAATCAGTTGTACGTTATGGTGCAGCCACCTCTATCTATTTATGGACTAAATACACAGCTAGTCATGACTCATAATAGAGGACCGTGGTTTTTCGGTCAGTATACACCTCTATTTCATTCACTATGTTTAAGATTCATTGTCATCACAACACCTTAGCAACATTTTCAAAAACAAATTATTGTGAAGGAATCGTGTATTCCATCAGAAATCCAAAAAAAGACATGAATTTGCGCTTCTTTCAAAACCATTCTGACCACAAATTAGCCAACAAATCAACCTAAAAAAATGACCGCAAGGAATTAAATGGTTACCTAACAACATAACATGTGATCATCTGTAAGACAACACCTACAAGTACAAAATAAAATAAAAACTATCGTGATATCATTCATGAAGGTGCATACAAAGATCTGAAGACGATAGTGGCAACTATGCACTTAACAAGCATTCATCATATCATGAAATTTAAGATAGCCAATTTAATGAAAATGAGTGCATGTCGTACACTGTCAAATCTCATCAAGACACATCATTTCAATATAAGTTTCCAAGTTTGAGAGTGAAATTGGTTACTCTGAAACACAAGAAAAATGAAAATCAGACTAACACTGGTTTTAGCCACATTGTCTGCTAGGGCAATGGCACTGACACATTTGATTCGACTAAATGAATCACCAACCACATTCAATCCATGACTTAAAGCTGGATCAAATTATAAAAATTCTACACTTTGACGAGATAAAATTTTCAACCAAAAAAAATCATAATCCAAAACCAAAAACTGCACGTATCTTGTGGAAAATAAGATCCCGCCAGCCCCTCTCAGTATTCTCCACCACAGTTGCGTTCCCATATCTGCATTGACAAATACTTGATTAATGGTATTAAAATTAAATAACAAAACACAAAACAATCTCACCAACTAAAGATCTGAAACAAACCTGTCCTCCTCTGGAACATCAGTGTGTGTCAGCTTAACTGTGGTAACCCCAGGTTCCGACTCATCAAATGCAAGCCGCACCTGCAATGATATCAAGCATTAAAAGTAAACCAACCAATCATCATTCCTCACCAAATCTCTTGTGTATCCAATAAGTTCATATGAATGCAATAAACCATCATCTAATCCTCATCAATCTGTTTTTCACCCAACCCATGTGTGCATCTACTCATACATGTTTATACATATCTATCTATCTGTCTTCTATATCTATCTATCTATACTATTATAAAGGGAAGGTATGAGTTGGTGTTGATGTCTCATTTTTTGGTTTTTCCAAAATGCCACTATAGTAGTTACAAGGGCCCTAAATTCAAGGGGTTTTTTCCCCCTTCAAATCTCTCAACTTCATATGTTTCTAAATTATTTCAATTTTCAAATTTTGAATTCAATCATACAATTTACAATCTTATTTATCTGAAACAAACTGATCACATGCTCACACATTGCATGTGCTGCCACTTCTAGTATATATACATAGTACATACATATATACACTATTATTTAAAGCCTACACCTCCCTTGGTGTGAAGAGTCCCACTTTTTTTATTTTCCCATAATGCCCTTCATATTCAATAACTACCACATCCAATATCTGCTTTCATCAAACTGCCCAAAAGAGCTCAAAGAATTTCATCATTTATCAAATCACACCTCAATCATCAAATCATTCAAAAACTTAAATGTGAATGTGTTTGCACCAACCGCTAGTTCCATGCATGTGTTTGTATTCACATAATACATATATAATGCAAAATTGTATATGACTCAAACGAAAAAGCAAGTGACTTACCATAGATTGAATGCCATCAGGCCAGCTTCCAAACCTCCATTTCTGCGCAATCAGCTTCCCCTCTTGCAACTCCACATTAGTCCCAGTCACAGACCCATCAAAAATACTAAACTCCCCACCCACCTCCTTGCTAATCCTAGCATTACTATGAGTAAAACCCTTCCACCTATTCTCATCCATCATTATCTCATACAAATCCTTTGCCCTACAACTAAATTTCTCCGTCATACTTATCGTCTTAAACCCTTCCTTCTTCTTTTTCTTCCCCTCCTCCTTCACCACCGCCACCGGAGGTGGCGGTGCCAAAGCAGCCGCTTCCGCCGCCTTCTTGGCGGGTTTTTTCACATCCAATTCATCCTTGGCCGGGCCACCATTCGCCATAGCAGACACATAAACCCTAACTTGCTCCAAAACAAAGGGCTTTCCTTTGGCCATAAAAGCCTCCTTCAATCTCTTCCCAATTGGACCCTCGTCCTTCACCGAAACCCTAATTTCAGGATCTTCGTCGGCATTCTCATCGGAAATGTAGGGAATTTCAACGATTCCATCGGCGCAAAGAAGGGTCTGGCCATCGGAGTCCTTGGCTTGGCCTTCCCAGGAGAGAGAGAGGTTCAGCTCGTAGCCGGGGATGATCTTGCCCTTGCGAACGTTGACATAGGCCTCGCCGTCGAGCCTGTCGAGGTTCTTGGTCTTGATGAAGAGGTTAGATTCGCCGTCGAGGAGGGTTTGGTTGGTGAGGAGCTTGGTGAGGAGGGTTCGAGACCATTCGAGGCAATCGGTCTCGGCCCAGTGCCAGTTGTGAACGTTTGCTCCGTCGGGTCTGTCTTCCACGATCCACCTCTTGTCTCCTTCACCGTACTTCGCCATTAGAGAGAGAGAGAGAGAGAGAGAGAGAGAGATGATGATGATGATGGGTTTGCTTCTTCTGGAGAAATGTAGATCCAGAGAGAGAGAGAGAGAGGGTGTGTTGGGAGACGAAAGTAGGGTAAAAAAGCGAGGCCGGAGGCTCTGGAGGGTTCGGAGTTGGAAGGGTCTAGAATGTTGAAGCTCAAATTGATTGGGAAGTTATTTTTATTTTACTTTTTTGCAGCTTATATTGGGATTTTTTTTTTTAATATTTGTTCAGTGATTTTTTTTTTATGTTATGTTAAAAATTATTTTTTAAAAGTATGTCAAGCTTTATATCCTAAAAATTAACCAAAAAATTTGTAAAAAAATCAATAAAGTTGAAAATGAATTATATTTTATTGAACAAGCTTATAAGGTTAGTTTACTAAAATAAAAATAGGTTCAAATATGTGGAAACAATTATAAAATAAATTAAAAAATAAAATTTGTAACTAATAGTACATAATTTTTGGAATCTTCTAGTCTAAAAATTGAATTAAAAATTTAACATAATTTTATTAATTGCAAAGAGGCGAGACGAGAATTGAAAAAAAGATAATCAAATGAATTAGCTATGACAAAAGAGAGGCGAATCATATCATGAGGGTAAGCTAGAGATTGAGGCCCCATTTGTTTTGGGTGAAAGAGAGGGTATTGGGATTGCTAATACCAAGTGTCACGACCCGCCAACGTGACCAGGCCAAATTGTCCAACAGGAGGAAATCTCAAGAAAGTGAGACTAGTGAACTGGCTTGGAAGCTCCTGGAAGACTTGAGAAAGTATGAAGACCATGAGGGATGCTAGGGAGTTCTGGAACTCTCTAGAATGGCTACAAGAAGAAAGGCTACAAGAAGATTGCCTAGAAGACTCTAGAATAATATAGAGCTAGTATAGAGCTAGAAGACTCTAGAATAAAGGTTGTATGAATAGGCTTTTTGAGGATGAGGGAAGGATCTAGAATCCCCTCCATCCATATAGTTCTAGAATAGTCTATTAGATGTAATAGGTGGAAGTGTCTAGAACACTCTCCACCATAGTAGTTCTAGAATGATCCTTGTAAGGTTATATAAAGGGGAGGCCCTCATTTGGCCAAACCAACAACTAAGAACTAAGAACCTAAGTATTCCAAGAGTTGTAAGCTTTCTCCAAGTGCAATACAAAGCTAACATTCTCCAAGTGTTCTCTCTAAGTCTCTCTTGTGTGTGCATTCCCCTAGCTCCCTTCCACAAAAGGCTTACTTAGGTGCGAGCAAGGCGTGCTTCAAGCATCTAAGGCCGCACGGTTGGCTTGGAAAGACTGAGGGTTGGTTCAGCAAATCCAAGGCCGTGACACAAGGTATTAGTAATAGTCTTGTTTGTTTTGGGAGAAGGCCTTGGGACTATTAGTCCCTTGGTATTACTAATACCCTTGGAGAGGGGATTGGTAAGGAGGAGGTAGAGATGGTATTAGAAAAATAGTGAGGGGATTAGAAATTTTTTTATTTTTTTATTTTTTATATATGGGAAATTTTTTTAAAATATAATTTTTAATTTTTTATATTTTTTTATTTGTTTTATTATTTTATATAAAAATAATTTAACAATTCCTCACTACTAATCCCCTCACTATCAATCCCCTGACTATTAATCCCCTCACTATCAATCCCCTCCATTTTATCTCCCAAAACAAACGGGGCCTGAGACTTTAGAGTATCTCCAACAGCAGTAAGCATTTTGCCTCAGTTTGGATAGTGGGAAGGTTTTTTGACTTTTTGATTTTTTTTGATTATTTTAACTTGGGTTAAAAAGTTTGGTTTGGGAAGAATTTTTTGACTTTTTTGTGAGAAAATAGTGTAATGATTATGGATTGGATGTGATATTTTATTTTTTGTGGCTAAAATAGTCTATTTTGTATTTTGTGACTAAAATAACCAAAAAAATCCCAAATAGCTCTTCTCAAACGGAGCTTTTATCTATTTAAATATTATTATAAAATATATATTTTATTTTACTTATCAATTATTTCATATTTTTATTTTAATCATACTCTTTATTTTAATTATTCATTTAAATATTATTAATTTTATAGAATGTCACATCAACAACAAAGATAGAGGGAAATAATCATAATAATTAAATAACTTAACTTAAGCTAGTGAATGTGAGTTGAACTAAAATATTTAACCATATTCCTAGTGCATTAGAGTTAAAAAAAATGAGTTATATTATACATTTTGAAAAGTTGACAAAAAGCTATTTTTTTTTTTACTTTTTTGTGACTTTTGGACTTTTTATGTTTTAAAAGTTGAATTTTTATTTTATTTTTTTGTGTAAAAAAAAGTTAAAAAACCAAAAAAACTGAAAGAAAATAAGATGCTCACATAGAAGAGCAGAAAGAAGAAAATAAAGATAATTTTGTACTTTACTTTCATACTCACCATTCTATAATTATTTTTATTATTTTATGTAGAGTATAATTCTTTGCCCCAAATACCATATTTTCTAATTTTTCTAGTTAAAACATTACAGCATGTTCCATTTTTTTTAAATATTTTAAATTAATAATTTATTTGAAAAATAACTAATATTGTTAAAAAGTCCAACAGTAATTACAAATTATCATATGAGTTTTTAAATTCTTTTTAGGATAAATTACAAATACACCCCATAAAATTTACTTAAGGTACAAATTGTTCCTTATGGTTTGAAAAATTATAAATATTTTATTATTAGAATTTTTTATTTAACAAAATTAACTAAAAAGATGAAATTCATAATCGTTCTCCTATAAAATAATAAAATTACCTAAATTATTAATTAAAATATATTTATAATATCATTAAATATTGTTATTTGATTGATAATTTATTAATAAAAGAAGCAATTTGTTTTAATATTAGAAACTTCAGAGGTAAAATGTAATGTTTAAAATCATAGAGGACGCTTTGTATTTTAATTAAATCTTAAAAAATATGTTTATAATTTATCATTATTTTTAATATCTTTTCATAAAAAGTCTAAACAATAAGTAAATTCCCAAATGAAATTTAGTTAAATTTTTTGGGAGCTTTTTTAGTAAATCCACACTCTAAGAGTCTTATTCCATTAAACTCATAGTGTTTCTTACTATTCCATTAGGTCCTATTTCATAGTAGAAGACCAAAGCACCCTCACACAAACACTCTCGTCTTTTTGAATCAAATAATCGTTTGTTCTTTTCCCCTCTCATTCTATAGAAAATCACGCACAGTATCTCCACCCTTCCAAAAACCCAAAATCGTATTCTATATCGTCTCAACACCCACATGCCTCTCATTGTCCCATCGTCGCAACGTCTCATCGTCTTCTTTGTCATCCCTCCACCGTCCATTGTCGGAATTGTGGAAATCACCATTATTGAACATCCTAAAGTTCCATCTTTGTCAAAATCACCATCGACGACCATTTGTGACAACTCAACCGTCGATATGGGCAAAAAACGTAAGTAATCTCACCAATCTTGTATGTAAACCCTAAATCACTTCTTCAAAATACAACATCGTGAACTTTTACAAATGATGTTATTGTTCATACAATGTGTGAAACTTCATATTGTTATTGTTCATGCCCTAATCATGAATGTGAGTCTCTCAATCACAATCTCCAATTATATGGGTTTTTCACCCAGAAATATTGCACGCTGTGAACATTCATATGGAATTGAAAATGTTAGGTTAAGCAAATTGTTTCAGATGTTGTTGTTGTTGTTGTATGTTTCAATCATGGGAATTTCCTATTGAAATTGCACCAATATTAACTTCCATAATAGCGTCTGTTTCTATTCTTACAATGTGTGAACTTCATATTATTATTGTTCTTGCCCTTTATATTATTGATGTTAATAATAGTAGACATTCACATTGAAGTCAATATGTTGGGCCAAGCCAATTATTGCAGATGTTCTTGTTGTTGTATGTTTTAATCATGTGATGTTTCCACAGACGGTGCCAATTGTACGGGCACGAAATATTCTTCCCGTATAATCCTGTTGACCAAGTCTGCGCTTCTCCGTACGTCGTCGCTTTACTCCCTGAAAATACAAACGTGAGCTAGCCGGCGGATGTATGCCGGATACCTCTCCGATGCCTAAGTCAGCAAAATAGACAAATAGACAAAAAGCTCTGTATGTTCGGGAATCAAAGTTGGGTTGCCTCTCCATGGGTGATGTTGTGAGCTTTTATAGGTTCCGCGTGGCACAATCCTAGTAGGACTCTTACTCCTTCATGTAGAGTCCTCCTAGGAGTCATACTCCTGAAAGATAATGTTTATCCTTCTACACCCTCCTCACTGCTTAAACCAAGTGAGATGGTTTTACCATGGTCGGATTCCAATATGACCGAAGTAAGCATGGCTGTGCTGAGCCGCAGACTAGACCGAGATAACTTTTGCTCGGCTCTTCCATTCACTGCTCTTACCCCGGTTTCTCCCAGTGCTAACCATGGTATGTCTCGACCGGGATAACCAATAACGTGGTCCCGACCGAGCTTACCGTAAGCTCTTTGGGACCGGAATAACTTCAAGCCTCTCTTGGACCGGAGTAACTTTTAAGCTTCCTTTGGACCAGAGTAACTTTACGGCCTTTTTACTCAGCCGTTCGTACTGTGGCCCATAACGGCCCATTACCCAGCTCGGCCCAATTTTCATATAAATTTCCCTCTTACTATTCATACAATGTGTGGAATTTCATATTGTTACTATTATTGCCCTTAATATTATTGTTGTTAACTGTAGTGAACATTCACATGAAAACAAAGAATCATGGTCCAACTTGCTTCTATTAGATGTTGTTCTCATATATAATTATGTTGTGAACATTCATAAAATATGTAAATTGATTAGACACTTTATGAACATTCACCACTGTGTTTAGAGAAAACATATCACTTTTGTTATTTCATGTTTGAAACTGTATTTGATCTATTTGGGTTAACATTCGCATATTCTTGAATGTTGTTCATGGTTGTATCTACACACATTGATCTTTACACACACATTGTGCTTCATCCGCCATCATACCATCCTCTCACCATCACCAGCGATTGGAAGTTCACATCAATTCACCACTGCCATCGCAAAATCGACCTGCCTTTTGCATCTTTTCGTTCTTCCACCGTTCTACCGTCATCGAAGCGTTGTTGGCTACTAGAACCATA